ATATATATATATATATATATATATATATATGAAACTTGAAAAAGCAATTATAATGAATATGAAATGGAAACGCGCAAAGCGAAGTAATAAGAGTAGTAAAGATGAAAATAAATAAAAGTCAATAAAAAATTTTTATCAAAATTTGGTTTTTAAAAAACTGAGCTAAGCATTATCTGCTTAGTGCAAAATTCTAAATTTATTGCATTTAAAATAACCCGTTTGAGTTTTAAAAAATACACCGAAAACTTTTGAAGGCAAAAAAATTTGACCACTTTTGTAATACTATCACAAGGTCAAATTTACCGGAAGAAAGTTTCCGTAAGTTGATACGGTTCTAAACTGGTGAATTCAACAGGTAGCATAAAAAAGAGAATATGCCTCATTAAAAGAGGACCACAGTTAAAATTTTTGCATTAATATCACAGTAGTTTACACTATTCTACAATATAAAAAAGTAATTTATAGCATACATGGTAAAAATAAAACAATATTCAACAGTACACTTTGGTCAACAGTAAATACAATTATTTTTCGCGTGAAGCAATAACAGTAACACAAAAAAAAGTTAAAATTTATGAAATGTTTGGCGAAAAAATAGATTTGAAAAAAAAAAATTGTAACCTGTCTTTCAGCTTAAATAGTGTTCAAAACTTTGAAAATCAGAATTTTTTTTGTGGAAATCGACAAAATACTGAATGTTCTAGCAAATCCTACTTTAAAGTTAAGACCATTAAAGATCAAAAATTGTTTACCCGAACTGGCTTTTTTATTGAAAAAAAATTATTTTTTCCAGCCATCGACATTGATAATTACGGTTCAGCAACTTGAAATGCAGTAGTTCTAATATCAAATCTTGGCGTAGACTAAAGAAAGGCAGAACAAGCTGCAGACTGAGCATTATTCTTTTGTCCTACTTTCTTCGGCTTCGATGTAGTCGCTGTCGCTTTTTTTGGCTGTCATCGTAAAGTTGTTGTAATATTAATATTACATAAGCTTCTTCCATAGTTTTCGATATTTACTGAAGCACACACTTCATACGTTATGATATCGCACAAGCCGCAGACTGAGCATCATTCTTTTGTCCTACTTTCTTCGGCTTTGATGTAGTCGTCGACTGTTTGCCGGCCATCATATGCTCTTTTACAGATGATGATCGACCTTCAGCTGAATTTTGCTTGTCTTTTGAATGTGCACCTTTCTTCTCCTTTGGAAAACTGGCAGCACGAGTCCGTGACAAAAAATTTGCTTTATGTTTTCGTTCACCTAATATTGACCTAATCAACTCTTCAATCACTTCACCTAGTCCAGTAAAATCTGATATCCTTGTGCTAATAAATTTACATTTTGGACCAAACAACTGCGCGAGATGCTCACCCTAAAATAATTCTTTTTATTACCTGTAAAAAAAAATAAAATTTTGATGATTTATTTGACATTACAAAAGTTAATTAACCAGTTAAAAAATAACCTGTTCAGATGGGATTTTGTCACTAATACAACATTTTGTATGGTCATCTGTGATTCGTTCTTTCCAAAATTTTGTACAATAGTGCGGTGTTTCAGATTCATAACCTTCAGATGCTGAAGAATGTCCAGACGATGATGCAGCGTAATTGTTATCATCACAGTACTCATCTTCACTTGCGAATAGCAAAACTGGTATCTGTAACTGAAATTACATGTTTAGGAACTGCTTTACACAGTAAAAAAATTAGATTGAAAGGTGCTTCTTAATTTATGGTTCTGTCAAGTGGTAGACCAGTACTTCAGCAGAAAATCAAAATCAAACCTTAGTGTCATTCTGTCGACGACTGAAGTCAGTAAATAATTCGGCTAGATTATGATATGAAGGCGCTGACCATGTACTATAGAAAAGAATCGCTCCGTCAGCTTTTCGTATCGACATTTCTCGAGCGCCAGTGTGATTCTAAATTTACAGTATCATGTCTTTTTTGAGTACGACAAACAGAATGCATTAGAAACTACAATAATGTTGTAGCTTACAGAAAAAATTTACTGCTGCAGTTGAATACAATACAAATCTTGTAGTTTTTAATTTATTTATCGGTTCTCCACCAAATTTTTCACTGATCAAATTACCATTTTGTCAACAGATCATCAAGTTATGAGCAACTGCAATTATCTGAAGAAGTGAAATCAATATTTTTTGATATAACTTGACTTACCAAACCCGGGTCGACCAATTCCATCTGTACAGTTTGACCATCAACTCTATACTTCAAATAATATGTATCCTCATAATTAACATGTCGTTCCCACGAAATTGAAGTATCACATAATTTGTCAAACTGCAATAAAACAGATAAGTAAACATTGTATAACATCAGTTATATAAGCCAACAACAACAAAAAAAAATATATCTGCTTAAATATCCTACCAATATAGCTTTCAAATCAATTCCAAAAAAGACAATATGAATTTCGCGAACTGTTGCCTTTTGTTTTATCGCTTCATTTGCCATACTGTAATAACAATAATGTATATGTTTCAGTACTGTTTCTCCGTGTTACTGCTTAGTTACGTTAGCTCAGTTTTTTTTACAGCAACTATTTATAAGAATTATTCAAAAAAAAAGGGCACTTAAAATACAACAAATACGGAAATAAAAATGCAATGTTTTTGTTAATAATCTTTAGACGAATAAACTAAGAGAACCACAATTATTCAAATAAAAATTTTGAACAATCTGTGACATTTTTGAAATGGCAAAAAAAAAGGCGTATTTTCTTCATTTCTCATTTTTTATCGCTTTTCATCTCCACTTTTTTCCTCGTCTTCAAAGTGATTGTCAAAATAAGAAATATTTTTTAACAACACAAGCTTTAATTTAGGTTTTCGATGTTGACATTTTTTATATATACGGCAAATGACAAATGTTGTTCAGCGAAAACCGATAGAACGCTGAAGAATTACGGTTATTTTATTCAGTTAAAATTGCATTAGAATAGAATTGTTATAATCTGATTTACAAAAAGTATATCACGAAAAAGGTATACCAAATAAATTGATAAAAATTTTATTGTAAAGGAAAAAGTAGATAATATTAACAGATATAAGGTAAAGTACTGTTTTTGTTTTTCTGTTATGTACGTAAAGGTTATTTGAGCTTCAATCAAAAAATAAATGTCGATAATTTTTTTACTGTGTTATTTGGCTATTTAATAATAAACTTTTCAATAAGATTTTTAAAGCGTAAGACAGCAATATTTGATAAAAAGAGAATCAAAAAACATCACAAATAAAACATATGTGTAACAGCTTTTGTGTTAACTAAACTATTGTTCCTAAATTTTGTACCTTTAGCTTTACAAAGTTAACTGTAAAAATTTATCGCCATTTTTACCATCATCAAAACAAAAAAAGAAGGAGGAAAAATAGAATTTAGAGAACATAGTCATAAAATATTTAACAGCAACAAATAAGCTTAGAAGAAAAAAATAAAGAAAATTGTCGAGTATAAATAATTCTTTACCGATGAGATGACTAAACAGCTTTTTTTTAAGACCTATGCTATTACCTACCAAAAGAATTGCTAATATTTGTATGCTTAACAATGCTTGGGTAAGACCAACCTAGATGATTCAAATAAGATTGTAGCATTTAAATGGAGAAAGAAGGGAGGAGGAGAAAAGAGTTAAACTAAAGAAAGAACTGTAAACTTTTTTTTCTTACTTAAACATCTATTTTAATAATAAACAGACAAATAAATTGGCAAAATTTTAAAGTCTTTCTACGTTTCTCTGTTTGTAATTCAGCAATAACTTTTTCATGAAACTATCATTATCACAACAACAGTAGAAAAAAAAGAAGAAAGATTAGGATGAAGCAATATCATAGAATTGAGAAAAAAAGGATTCGAGTAATATAATAATTATTTATGTTTGCCAGTCAGTCAGCCAACCAACCAACCAATATAATCGTTGCTAAGTCTAGTTAACATAGAACTAAACTAAGCCATCAAATCATAGAACAATGCTAATTTCAGATAGTATTGCTTTGTTGGTTGATTATTTGTGTTGCCGTTACCTTAGCAGTTGCTAACAGGTGTCAACTGAATACAACTGTAATTTGATTTTGTTCGAGTATCTAAAACGGAAATAACTGTGTCTGTGTAACTAACTGAATTACGTAGGCGACATGTGTTCTTTTTGTTCCGCTTATGTAAACTCATAAATAAACATATAAATTTCTGAATGTATGCAAATTAACAGATTTAACAACAACAAAAGCGAAAAAAAAAAAAAAAAAAAGTGATTATAAAAAGGAAAAAACGAAGAAGAACAGAGCAGAAGAGCGGAAAAAAAAAAAGAAGACAAAAGGGCACAGATTTGGCACTATAGTAAACAGTGGCTTGAACGAACATATAAATGCTCAAAAAATTGTTGTTAAAATAGTAGAACTTTTTCTTTTTCTTTTTGACGACAAACCCAAACTTCCATAATATTATTTCCTTCCGTTTGTACCAAAAAAAAAAAAGAAAGTGCAAGTATAAAGTTAGAAAAAAAAAAAAGCAAAAACTTTTTGCACTTTTGACACAACAGCATTTCTCTTCATTATTAATTATTGTCTCGGTTTTTTTTTTGTTTCGCTTCAACTGTTCTCTGAATTTAACTTAACTATGTACATATAACTCAATAATTGTTTAATTGTCAAACTTAAAAATAAAAAGCTAAGAGCAAAAAGCAAAATTGAAAAATTCTTCTTGTTACTTTTTCTAGACCAAAAATTTTTGTCTAGTCATCATTATTGATGACAAACTATGGTTTACATTGTAAGGTACAGTCAGTGCTGACTTATCGACTACTTTCAGTCATCATTTAGTGTTAGTCAAGATGTTAACAATCAAAAAACTCTTTATACGTAGGTGTGTGCGTATTAGTAATGGGTACTTGTATGTTTGATGCGTGTGCCAATCAGAATTGAAAAAAAAAAAACGAGTCGAAAGAAAGGAAGATACTTTCCTTTTTTTCCGGATAAACCTACTAAGACCCCCTGTGATAACAAATATCCTGTGATACTAAGTGGGCGGGAGGCAGGATAT